TCATCTTAAAGTTGGCCGTCTGATAGATATCGATGAAACGTTATTTACCTCCCACTGCCAAACGCTGTCTTCCGTTCTGTGCTATTTCTATCGATGTCGGATGTCCACGGTGTCTCATAGTCCTCCCCAAGGCTCTGAATTGATACCGGTCATTTAGCAATTAAAATAACATCCAACACATGCATCTGTTTACCCGTGCTTCTTTAGGCGATTACTTGACCTGCCTTTGCACGTATTTATGACGTATGTCACCGGTGAGGAAGGGTAGCTCACCTTTTCATTAACATCTGACATCTGACAGAAACCCATGCTTATGAAATGGTCGGAATCGTGCTGTGGGCATTGCTCTAAACTAAGATTTCTTATGATCACGTAAATGGTTTGTTGCTTGTGGTGTATACGACCCGTGGAGATCCGGGTTAGATTTGGTAGTCAGTAACCCATACTTGTCGTAATAGGCAACTAACGGGATCGGGTGGTCAGTCTCGCTGACTTGGTTGACACATGTCATCGTATCCCAATTGTGTAGATCGATGTTCATTCTGTTGATCACTTGATTGTCTGGTCCAGATTTCATTATTTACAGACCGGCGCCATATAGCTGGAATATTGCTGAATGCGTCGTAAAACTAACTCACTCACTCATGGTGGTGTATACTTTACAGATTGTTTGAGTTATATAAGGAATAAGGTGCTTACAAGGACGTTGCGCCTGGTTCTAGATGCAGCACATACTTGAATATCAAGGGTTGTGTGTCTCATTCTTTTCCATGACTACAATTGACACATTCGTCAACGTAGATTCATTCAGGTCGAATGACACGATGCCAAAAACAGACGTTGAATAAATTTAGACTGCTGTGTTCATGATTGAAACACGTGGCAGTAGCTTCCGTATTAGACTGTGTGTCGTCTCAAATCGTAATGTCTTATGACGAATGGTTTTTCTCTTTCCCTTACCGATAAAACGAAACTACAGTTTCCAGAATAATATTAAAGCAAGTGAAATGGTTTGACACCGTTTTAGCAACATTTCAGCAATAGCACGGAGGGAGACACTAGAAAAATTCTTCACACATTGTACCCATGTGGGGAATCGAATCTGTGCCATCGGAGTGACGAGCGAACGCTTTAACCACCGAGCTACCCCAACGCTCCTGTAACCATGTCTGGGGCGGTGGGGTAGCCTAATGGTTAAAGCGTTCGCTCTTCACACCGGAGACCCGGGTTCGATTCCCCACATGGACAAAATGTGTGAAGCCCATTTCTGGTGTCCCCCGCCGTGATATTGCTGGAATATTGCTAAAAGCGGCGTAGAACCAAACTCACTCACTCACTGTAACCATGTCTGATTCGGTTGAAGATGTCAATTTGATTATGATCCATGATATACGTACGGAAGTCCATTTCTGATGGCAATTTATGGATATTGTTTAAAAACCGCTAAAAAGTATACCAATCACTACGAATGACGACAAATTACTGTAACATTGGCCATAAATCAAATTTACCAACACAAGAAAAGGTGGTAAATAGCTACAGCTAACAGATCAAGCTTTGACCAACTGCCTGTCTCAGAGCTCCGGGAAACATGGCATTTCTTCCAGTTGATCTTTAAAAAGTAATTGCCGTTGTTCTTCCCTTTGATCAAAACCGAGCAGAGCACACAGATATCTCTTTCTGATGAAGTCATCTCCCAGTATTGCTGACGTGAATACCGCACCAGTCTGCGACGATGAGGCAACCAAAGTGAAGGTTATAAAGTATTTCTTCGCCGTCTTTATCAACTTGTGTTGGAGCACTAATCTAAAGAATCTGACGTTCTAACATTAGAACAGCTTCGAACAAAAGGGTAGAATACGGGGGATATGGTGTGCATAAACAGGTTTAAATATTCATGTATTCTATACATGGGTGTAATGGTACCTAGCTGGAGCGTTAAGGTACTGGGATTGGCATCTCTGACCATTGATTCTGTAGTTGAATCAATAAACATGGTAAATAAAGCATATGGTTGGCATATATTTAGTATTCAAAAGTCATTGTTCCGTGGGTGTTCTGTATAAGCATGACGTCATGAGACGCTGGTTCTCATGTTTACAGAGTATATTGCTAATTGGTATATTCACCGGTATATTTATGGATGCTGTTTGTGTTGTTAGCAATTGTTCTGTATATATGGTCAAGGTGGAACCTGGCGCGGTCAGGCATGGTGTTTACTGAATAACTAAGTTTTCAATCATAGGTTCATGAATGCTGTTTTTATTCGGTGCTGCTAACAACTGATCGGTTAATTTAGGCAGGCTAACCTGATTGAGGTCAGACTTGGTGTTTACAAAAGAACAAGTATTTCGTGTAACGTTTCATGAATGCTGCTTTGTTCTGTGTCAGCAAGGGTTCAGTAGATATAGATAGGGTGGGCTATTATGTGGTAAGACTTGGTGTTTACAAATAAACAAGTATGTGGACTGAGTATAGTTTCATAAATGCTGTTTTTATTCCGTGAGAGCAATTGTTCTATACATTTATCCAAGATGGACTATTATGAGGTCAGGCTTTGTGTTTACTGATTAAAGAATTATTTAGTGTCAAGTTTCATAATGTAGGATTCGTTCTGTATTAGCAATAGTTCTGTATATTCAGGGTGGGCTAGTGTGAGGTCTACCGAGGTCTGTTGTAAGGTTTACTGAGGTCTGTTGTGAGGTCTACCGAGGTCTGTTGTGAGGTCTACCGAGGTCTGTTGTGAGGTCTACCGAGGTCTGTTGTGGCGTTTACCGAGGTCTGTTGTGAGGTCTACCGAGGTCTGTTGTGAGGTCTACCGAGGTCTGTTGTGAGATTTACCGAGGTCTGTTGTGAGGTTACCGAGGTCTGTTGTGAGGTCTACCGAGGTCTGTTGTGAGGTTTACCGAGGTCTGTTGTGAGGTCTACCGAGGTCTGTTGTGAGGTCTACCGAGGTCTGTTGTGGCGTTTACTGAGTAGACAACTATTAGTGTATTCAACCAGTTGAGTTTCATGGATGCTATTTTGGTACAGTGTCAGCATCCGTTCTGAAATTAACCAGTTTGAGGTCTTAAGACTTTTGTGTTAAATCTATTCAACCAACGTTGTATCACAGAGGCAGGTCTGGAAGAGTGGCAGAGTTTTGTTTGTCAGTCGATATGGACACTTGGGAGGTTAAAGTGGTAATTACTGAATATATAACTACTTAAATTATTCAACCATACGCGTGATGCTTGCTTTGTTCTGTATCAGCAAGTGTTCTACATATTCATCCAGCATGGGTGCTTGAGAGACTAGACGTGGAAGTGACTGAATAGAAATGGAGTACGTAGTGTATTCAACCAGTACGAGTTCATAGATTCCAGTTTCATACTGTACGAGTAATTGTTCTGTATATTCAACGTGAGGTCCTGAGAGGTAATGTGTAGTTTTTTAAGCAATAAATTGACAAAATGATTATTACTTTTAATGATATTTTAGAATGAATTAACATCTACGTTTTGTTGCTTTGAATAAGGTCCGTAAGTATTTGATACAATCTAAATGAAGTTTAAATGAATTTGTTGGAATTTACCAACAACAAGTAATAATATATTTAATCGAATGTTAAACTCTACTTCACCCCAACTCCTCAAAAACAAGACTAAATTGACTGTGTTTTCATAACACATGTACATTAGATGGCTATTATTCATTTGTTCTCATTTGATATTCACAAACGTCTATACCCTCTGGTTCATTTGTAAGGCTCTGCGGGCAAATTTAGACGGCGAATGATCCCTTGATACTTTACCTATCCAAACTGCTTTGTCGGAACATTAAACTGTTCAATTCAAGGACGTTTGGGACGTGCACATGGCATTAATAATGCATGGTAAGAAGGGGAGCTGGGAGAGAAGAAATGGGAGTTTAATGTCTTGGAGGGTGGCTGAAAGAAGTAATTAAACTCGTGATAGTGAGACTAATACAGGTTAATACGTTAGGTCCACGTTTATTAAATGGTGTAGCGGAATACACGTGAAATCAGTATTTTTTCCTTCATTGTTACAAAGGGTGACAACTGGTCTGCTGGTCATTAATTTTGCTTCAGTCAATGACCATCAGTGTCAAACAGAATTTATCATCAAAAACTGACTCCCACACAAGCGACATCTACAATTGAACTGTCATGATGCTATTACGTCATCGGTTAATGACCTCACAGTGCTTTGACATCACTAAGAACACAGCAGACAATGTTATGACGTCACGCAAAGTTGATGACGTCACAATGCTATGACCTCACTGGGATAGCTGTTCAAGAAGCCTAATGGCAGTTATGTGTTCATATAAATTCATTCTTTTACTGATAACTGATGAAGAATGATTTTGGATGGTAAATAGAGTAACACCCTCGTGTCTTCTGATATCAAATATATCAACACTCGTTGATACAAGTAAACATATAGTCGGCAAGTCTCGGATATTTGAAACTTTATCAACTCGTGGTGATATATTTGATATCAAAAGACACTTGGAGGAGATTCTCTATATGTTCTATGGCTGTGATAAAACGTATAACTCTCTTAATCACCTGGAAGTAAATATCAACACTTGCATATTTCGTCACATTAGATTTAGACTCAGAATGTGTTGAAAGATTAGATCATGGTCTTATGACACCAGACAAATGATACTCTTCACTAAAGATGTAGTTTGTCCTAGGTATCAGTGTAAAGGCTGGTATCTCGAGGACGATAAAATGTGCACATACAGATATACACAATGGGTGTATGTATGTTTGCGTGTGTGCGTGCGTGCGTGCGTGCGTGCGTGCGTATGTTTGCATGACAACAACAATAATCGTAATCGTTCACGACAATGACTGCGTTGGTGAGCAGTGCCTAATTCTGTTTGCGCTCATGGAAACAAACGCCGATATATTGTTTCGTTAGTCAGCCAATGCCTTGGAATCACTGACAATTTGTTTATACATATTTTCACTTTTCTTCCCATTTAAGGATGTTGTAGCAGAGATGCAGTCCCGCAGTTCCATGGTCGTGGCTCTCTGGCTGGCGGTACTGTGCTGTGACGTCAGTGCTTTCTCCATCAGGCGTCGCGAGTCGCCCAGCACGGATCTTTCCGAGGCCTTCCGAGTGTTAGAGCGTCAGCGGCGGCGGATCCGAGAGGAGGATTATCTGGCGGCCTCGCGGTTGCCCGAGCCCCGGGTACAGCTCTCACCCTCAGATCTAGAAGACTGGGGTCAGGGGGTACCAAGCAGGTACGATGATTATTACTATTATTATTGTGTGAGTCAAGGATTGTTCTTTTACGCCGCAGACAGTAATTACCAGTAATATCATGGCGGCATACAAGTAGTCAAGCGAAGAGCAGGCAAATCAAACTTTGTTACCATAACAATGAGCTACGCATTCTGGGTACGTTGTCATGGAAACAGCGAGGCTCATATTTTGATCATAGATCCTCACTTGTCTTCCTTTGAAACATGGGAGGTGGATAAGCCCAGTGGTTAAGGCGTTCGCTCGTCGCGCCGTAGACCCGGGTTCGATTCCCAAATTGGGTACAATGTGTGAAGCCCATTTCTGGTGTCCCCAGAATGTTGCTTGAATATTGCTAAAAGCGGCGTAAAACCACCCTCACACACTCGCTGCTTTGCAACAAATGAACCAGCAGATGATATAACTCTTGTACTTTCTTTTTCAGGGAGGAAGAGTGGTTGCAAGATGCTTATGGTTTATCGCCTTATGATGAGGACTCGTATGCAGTGCCCGAACTTGTGGACGAATCCAATCAGTCGAATGAAGGTCCTATACCTGAGAAAGTTGAAACATCTCAAGAGGAGTTACAAAGTATATTTGGAGACTCGGACAAGGATGCTGAGGAGGAGGATTCAGTAGATGAAGAACAAGACAATGGAAAAGAAGTTACCGAAACATCTGAAAGTGAAGTAAAAGGAAACGAATTAGATAACCTTACTGAAGACGAGTTCAAAGCGTTAATGAGCGCAGTAGAAAAATTACAAAAAAGAGCTTTGAGTAAAAAGGACATCAAAAACAGTGCAGTTAAAGTCACCACCACAGATCCGGTCCCTGTAAGTAAAGAGGAGTTGAGTGAAGTGTTTGATGACTCGGAGGATGACAATCAACCTGATTCTGATGCTGTCGTACATGAAGTTTCAGACGTTGCCATTGGAGAGCCTACTCCATCCAAGGAAGAAAGGCTTCAGGAGGCAAATGACCAGGTAGCAAACGAAGAGGTTTTAGGCGAAAAGGATCCGTTGACTTCTATAGAGAACTACTGGTTGCTGAAGGATTACTTTAACGGCGACGAGAAACGAAAGAAGAGATTTACAAAACGGGCACCTGTAGCCAAACCCCCAAATTCAGTTCCTCTTGAGGAAACATACATGAAGGAGATCCAGACGCTCCGGGATGAGATCCAGCAGTTGAAGATGGTTTCAGAGCTGGAGGATTTGGAAAATGATGCCTTGACCCAGACACTGAATGAAGCCACCCTGTCGCAGATGGAAGGCACAGTGTCAGACAAGGAGTTTGGTTCTCTGGAACAGGCCATTAAGCTTGAGGAAGCTCTTCAGGATCTCAAAAACGGCAAGGTTGATCCTCTGATCGTGGAGCTGATTGCTGCTAATGCCTTAGGGGGAAATGTAGGGGAGAAGCGTGGAGAACCGGTGTGGAAGAAGAAGAAGAGGATGGATGAAGCGGATCTGGAACAGAGTTACCCAATGTTTCCTAGTGACAAGAGAGCGGCCAAGAGGATGTTGATGTTGCCTAGTAACAAGAGGTCACCCAAGCGTGTGCAGGAGGAGGAGGTGAACCGCTGGTATGACCGACCAATCGAAGAGGAGGAGGAGGCGGAGGAAGAACAGCGCTATCTTGATGCCCAGGACGGTGAGTCATTAAGTCTTCATTAGATATCTCAACCAACACCCACTACAACACCCGCACCTACGCCAACAACCACTACAACACCCACACCCACACCCACACCCACACCCACACCCACACAAACACACAAACACACACCTACACTCACTCCAACAACCATACTCACTCCAACATCAACACCCACACACCCAAACCACACACAACCACAAACACTCACACCAACTACAACATTCACACACACATCCATACACACACCCACATACACACACACACATCCAAACTCACACTCACATACTCACCACACACATCCATACACACGCCCACATACCCCCACACACATCCATACTCACACCCATATACCCCCTCACACACATTCATACACACACCCACATAACCCAACACACACACATCCATACACACCAAACATACCACACACACATCAATACACACACCCACATATCCCGCACACACATCCATACACACACACACATACCCCACATACATCCATACACACACATCCACACCACACCCACATCCATACCTTCACACCCACACACAACCACATGCACCCACTCCAACACCCACGCACACGCCCACACGCGCACCCACACCAACACCAACACATCCAACCACTACAACACACCCACACCCACACCCACACCAACACCAACACCAACACCAACACCAACACCCACACCCACACCCATACCCACACCCACACCCACACCCACACCCACACCAACACCAACACCAACACCAACACCAACATCAACACCAACACCAACACCAACACACAAACCCACACCAACACCCACACCCACACCAACACCCACTACAACACCAACACCCACACCAACACCCACACCAACACCAACACCCACACCCACACCCACACCCACACCCACACCCACACCAACACCAACACCACACACCAACACCAACACCAACACCAACACCAACACCAACACTCAACACCAACACCAACACCAACACCCACACCAACACCAACACCACACCCACACCCACACCAACACCCACACACCACACTCCACACTCCACACACCCACACCCACACCCACACCCACACCAACACCCACACCCACACCCACACTCAACACTCACACCCACACCCACACCTATTACAACACTCACACCCACACCTACTAAACACCCACACCCACACCAACACCCACACCAACACCCACACCAACACCTAACACCAACACCAACACCAACACTCCACACCCACACCACACCAACACCAACACCCACACACCATACTCTACACTCCACACTCCACACTCACACCAACACCTACACCTCCACACCCACACACTAACACACACACCCAACACTCCACACCCACACCCACACCAACACCAACACCAACACCAACACCAACACCCACACTAACACAAACACCAACACCAACACCAACACCTACACCTACAACAACAACATACCAATACTCCACACCCACACCAACACCAACACCCACACACTACCACACCAACACTCACACTCTACACTCACACACCCACACCAACACCCACACTCCACACACCCACACCCACACTCCACACTCCACACCCACACCCACACACCAACACCTACACCCACACTCACACCACACCCACACACCACACCAACACTCCACACTACACCTACACCACACACTCCACACCAACACCCACACCAATACTAACACACACTCAACACCAACACTAACACCAACACCTACACTCCACACTCTCACACCAACACCTACACCAACACTAACCTCAACACCCACACCAACACCAACACCAACACCAACACTCCACACCAACACCTACACACCAACACCCACACCAACACCCACACCCACACCCACACCCACACCCACACCCACACCACACACACCAACACCACACCAACACCACACACACCAACACCAACACCCACACCAACAAACAACACCCACACCAACACCACACCCACACCCAACACCCACACACCAACACTACACCCACACCCACACCCACACACACACACCACACACCCACACACCCACACCAACACCACCACACACCACACCCACACCACCTACACACCCACACCCACACCTACACCAACACCATACACCTACACCAACACCCACACCCCACACACACCCACACCAACACCCACACCTCACCCACACCCACACCAACACCAACACCAACCACCAACACCACACACCCACACCCACACCCACACCCACACCCACACACCAACACCCACACCAACACCAACACCCACACCCACACACCAACACCACACCCACACCCACCCACACCCACACCCACACCTACACACCAACACCAACACCAACACCAACACCAACACCAACACACCAACACCCACACCCACACCCACACCTCCACACCCACACCACACAACACCCACACCCACACCCACACCCACACCCACACCAACACCCACACCCACACCCACACCCACCCACACACCCACACCCACACCAACACCAACACCCACACCCACACCCACACCAACACCCACACACCACCACACACCAACACCCACACACCACACCCACACCAACACCACACCACTCCCACACCCACACCAACACCCACACCCACACCCACACCAACACCCACACCAACACCCAACACCCACACCCACACCCAACACCCACACCCCACACCCACACACACACCACACCCACACCCACACCAACACCAACACCAACACCCACACCCACACCCACACCCACACCCACACCCACACCCACACCCACACCCACACCACCCACACCCACACCCACACCCACACCCACACCCACACCCACACCCACACCCACACAACCACAACCAACACCAACACCAACACCCACCAACACACACTAACACACCCACACCCAACACCAACACATCCAACCACACCCACACCCACACCAACACCCACACCAACACCAACACATCCAACCACCAACACATACACCCACTACAACATCCACACCAACACCCACACCAACATCCACAACCCCAACACCAACAACACCCACTGCAACATCCCCTTCAACACCCACTGCAATATCCTCTTCAACGCCCACTACAACATCCACACCAACACCCACTGCAACATCCTCTTCAACACCCACTACAACATCCACACCAACTCCCACTACAACATCCACACCAACACCCACTACAACATCCTCTTCAACACCAATACCTACACCAACACACCCACACTCGAAACACCTCACACACAAGCACGCACACACACACGCGCGCGGACACGCGCACACGCACACACACGCACACTCACTCACTCTGATTGCATGTCTCTTGACGTCCTGTCTGACAATACGTAGTCCAGTTGTAATGAAAACAAATCGCATTATGATATTTCAGATACAGTTATTTGAACAACATCCTCACAAGAAAGTCATATAATGCTAAAATCCATTTTGTTTGGAGACTTTAACACATGTAATCAAGTTGACATATTGTATTGCAGTTTTAAGATTTTTTTCATGAAACCTTTTAGCTTTTCTATGCGTTAAAGATGAGTTGTGGGGACATCCTCTTTGTGAAAGTGGTTATAACATCATGCACGGTCATCTAAGCACTCTGGTGGTGCATTCCGTACAGATATAGCATTAACGTTTGTTGTCTTCCCATCTATTTACCCTGCGTCAGAGAGCCCACAGTGTATTCAGTGTTGACAAGGCACTTACTCTACCTGGGAAGCTAAAACAAAGGGTACATTATTCCCTATAACTTCCGCCTTTCATGTTACGGAATACCTGACATGGATCAACATAACCCACTCGCTTCCATTCATTCCATTGCTCTGGTGAGAAGTGGCCCTTTGTGTCAAATAAATGTCGATTAAAATCGCCTGCAGCATTATCATCGCTTAGAGTAGGAGTGCTGCGGTTTGCGCATAGTCCCTATGACTACCGAGATATCGTCCCGGCTGTAAATTGTGAATGACCGTGTGTGCCGAATGTTGCACTTTAGTAGACCCTGTCCACCAGACGTGTCCACAATTAGTATGGATAAACAGGTCCTCGGGGAAAGTCCACGAAACGCTAATGAGGATTGTTCAGAGACCAGATCTCGCCACCCAGATTGTCCACTGCCTTCGGTTAGAATTATTTCGTCCTCAGACTACTTTTAGATCCCTGGCAGCGAAATAATCCCACATTTTAAAATGGACTGTACTAATGATAGGCGAAAATGGCTAGCAGGCAGTGACAACAGCACAGCCGGTTGCACGTGTGTCTCTTGTTCGTAATGAATCGGTTTTATGTTTCGTATTCTAAGGTAACACTGACATACAGACTTAGCCTGGATAGTGTCCACATAAGTTCATGGAATATGCTTGAAATGGCTGCCATGGGGTGAGTGGAGCAACCTTATCTACTGGGGCTGGATATTGCCCTGATTCTCATATTGCCATATATTGCATTAATTTAAGACATGTTGCAATACGTATTGTGATACATTGACTGGAAGGTTTCTGCCCAAGTGCATACATCTTAAATTAATAATAGTTCTCTATGTGAGACATCATCTTCTTAGTTGCTGTTACACCATACTTTCAGCCTCCCCGTCCCCATTGTGCATGGCTGTACGCCAATGGTGTACTGGTGAATAAAATGATATAGAGCCTTAACGTGGAATGTTAAATTGAAGTATTGCAACAAAGGTTTGCGAACATAATGATAAAAGTAATAGTATAACCTGATTTTCATGGTCAGTGTTGCTTGCTTCAACAGAATGCACTTCAATGCAGCATGTAATTATTGTTACTGTAGTTCAGTGATTCATTCAGATTCAACTCCAATATAAACATGTGTTAACATGAACTATTGCAAAATGAAACAAAAACATGATTTAGGTGAAGTTCTTCAGCTTAAAATCTCTAGAAAATTGACTAGAATGTCATTATACAGTCCTACAAAATGTATAAGACTTAGGCCTTTATGATAAATTGATATCAGGGGTATACGCCATTTTATTGATATAGAAATCAAGATAATTCAACTCTGGATGACCCAATATATTGCAGAATCTGAACCATATCGCGATATTCGTATCGCGAGATACTGTACTGGTATACTACCGGTTTAGAATTCTGTTTCATCCACGACATTATGAGTGAGTGAGAGTGCGTGCGTGCGTGAGTGAGTGAGTGAGTGAGTATGGTCCGAGTATGAGTCTACACAGTCGTGTTTCACACACTGTACACACTGGAATCAAACCCTAGCCTCCGGCCTGATGACCGAAAACCTACACCACTAAGCCACCCTGCGTTCTTATATCCTGTAGTAATGCCTGAGAGTAGAGTGACAATATAAAAACGTTCCTCCGTAGAGTAACAATATAAAAACCTCCATCAACAAACCCTATTTTAAAAATCCAGTGATAAACTGACGCAGAAAAGAAAGTAAACACGTATGTTTGATAGTGACTAAAGCAGTTCCATCAAATCAATCCCACCGCATCAAATAAAATTATTTTGATGCATCCTGATAGTTATCTCTGAAATTGATACGATCCACTAATCGCCCTTCTGTAGATCAATAACCGCAGGAAGTGTGTTAACATTGCCATCGATGAGTGTGCCATATCTATAGCGCTGTGGTAGTGAGATGGTGTATGGTAGGTTAAGCTGAACATTGAACACTGTGTAATGGGGCGCGATGGCTATCGTTGAACGGTAACGTCAACAACACAACATTATACTATCTCTTGACAAGAACAACGTATATATTACATCTGTTTTCTATACACTGTTAATCGATGTTGTCCTGGAGTGCATACCGTAAATTCTTAAATCGAGGCGCCTTGCATAAAACCTTCTTTGGGTTACGACTAGTGTATATCCGATGATTGAACGACCTCTATTCTGTTCTATGTGATGTTTTATGTGATGTTTGTGCAAATGTTGACCCACTGTCGTATTGCGACAGACAATTGTACATGTATAGCTTAGGTTTGTTTTACAAATTTCATAACACTATACGTTAAGATTGACTTGCGATAGTCGTAACACAATACATTAAGATTGATTTGCGATAGTCGTAACACAATACATTAAGATTGATTTGCGATAGTCGTAAAACTAAGGCGGCTTTTAACTTAGCACCACATCTTTCGTAACCATCGCAACTCCATACATTAAGTAAGACTTACAGTGTCATCAAACTACGTTTTTGCTGCGGAACAAGGACGTTGTTTACGAAAAAGTTTCAGGTTTACGACTATCGTATCTCAATGCGTAAGCATAGGTCGCATGTCTAAGATTGCGTCGATGTTAGGGTCAGTTCGCAAATACAGTGAAACACCGTTATGTTGAAGGAACGTACGTAAATATTTCGAGTTAGCATTTCGCGATTGTATCGAACATTAGATAACTCGAAATATTTACGTACGTTCCTTTTTTAGTCAGCATTTCGCGATTGTATCGAACATTAGATGACTAAAAAAGGAATATGCTCTGATTAACATTACTTCGAGATAACCGAGAGTTCGACACATCAATGTTCAACACAACGGCGTTTGACGGTATAGTACAGGCATTTGTCACGCCTAAAATATCAAAGCATGAACGAACAGCACCGATGCACATTTTCGCTCATTTGTCCTGTAAAAATACACACTCGCGCCTCTATTGGTGAACTAACGGAACATTGCGGTAGAAGTTTAAACACGTTGTAACAGCACTAAAAGCAAAGCGGTTTGGATGAACGATAAACGCAATTACACGAAGGATTATTTCATTGTGGGTATTGACACAACTGGATCAATGCAGTTTCTCGACAGAGGGGATGGAGACGGCAGACACGAGGGTAACTGGCAAACACGAGAGTATCAGATGTGCTAATGGCTGTTTGTTCTGTTGCAGCGATCGATGCCATGGTAGGACGGCTGGCAGAGTCGGAACAGAACGACTTCACCGACGATGACATTGAGAGTCAAGGTTGGTCATGATATGATACACGTGATAAAGTGTTGAAATGGTTAATTGATTGTTAACTACTGATTTATTGCTTTTGGACAAGGAAGTGAGTTTATCGATTAATCGATAGTTTAATGGACGAAAGGAGAATGTTAAATTTATAATGAGGCAATGAGCGTGATATCGCACTGCGTAATAAGCTATTAACCGTTAAAGGATCGGTGGTTCATATACATTATTTATAAAGCTAAATGATAAGTCCATGCTTCTAAATATATGTTCTGCGTGGGTTAAATTATCTCTTAACTGATGAAATGAAAAGTACATAAACGAAAGCCATTATTGTAAGAGTATGATTAACATTTTGAAACCTTAAAAGAGTGAGTGAGTCAGTTGGAATATAAAGCGAGTCAGCATCAGAGAAAACAGTGCACCTCGTTAAAACAGACACCAATCTTCAGCCTGATTTTGCAGCCGTCCTGCGGTAGTGTCAGTCGCAATCTAAGGGCGGTAGGGTAGCCTAGTGATTAAAGCGTTCGCGCGTCACGCCGAACATCCGGGTTCGATTCCCCACATGGGTACAATGTGTGAAACCCATTTCTGGTGTTCTCCGCCGTGATATTGCCGGAGTATTGCTAAAAGCGGCTTAAAACTGAACTCACCACTCTGTCGAACTCTGTGTAAACAGTATTTCAGATTAATTTTATTCAGTATTTCTGGCCAAGTACAAGTACAATTGCTGCAAATACATGCACGTGGCGACGGAGACATTTCTTGTATTGAAAAACATGTTTTAAATAAATTGCAATAGATTTGATAACATTAATATTCTTAGAGTTTAACAGACTGAACAATATTTGTTGATCTCTTACAGGTGCTGATATATATGATAAATACTTACGTCGTAAATCTGAATACTTGGTACACAAAAATATTACATGAAATGCGCTTTCAATATTACCTTATTACAATTTGTACAAATGGATTCGTTATCATCAATCAAAGCTCTATTTGATTTGAGTAAATAATTAATTCTAAAATCATTAAAACCAATTCTAAATTTATACAATGCCCGTATTAACTATTTATCTTGTGGATTCATTACATACAAACTCCGGTTCTAACAAAGATTTACGAGAAGAATAATGTAAAGTTCTATAAAGCTAGAATTATTCATTGACATAGACCATTCTTGGAAGAAAATGTATTGAAGACGTTGCTTAAAAACCGATAAAAAGGCACAGTAGTTATAATACTGTGAGAATAAACCCACCATTCTTTGTACGCCACTACGACTCTTGTTTGTAAAGAGCCATAGGTTTGACAAGACCCCGTGATGATGATCGGCTAGCATAACTCCCCGACAGCACATTGTAGTCGTAAAAGTCGACGCAGTGGATAGGGTGGTCGGTGGTAAAATTTCTTGTTCCAAGATCGTGGGAATCTGTACTCACCATACCATACAGATCCGTGCCAGTTATATTCGGACACTTGACGTCATTTCCATAGACTTATATGTTATTTCAGTGTAGCATAAATAATTTTCATGAGGTGAGTCTAGGCTAGATCTTTGTAAAATCTGACAGGCAAATCTGAAATCATCCCTGCTGTGCGCACATAATTTCAGTTCATTTTTCCGACCACTTTTTTAACTAATGACATCACATTTCTCAACTTACGTATAGTTCCACAATGCACAATCCCATAGGCCGCCATGTTAAATGAGTTCAGGGCACTGTACATATGTTGATTAAATTGTTGCCATTCGATGAATAAGCAACGGAAAATTAAACAGAAATTATGTGATTGTAGGTAAGATGATTCCTCACAAATGTGCAACATTTGACCTGGATCATACGAAAATTAAATTCATGAAAATTATTTATGCTACACTGAATTAACATGTAAGTCTATGGAAGTTACATCAAGTGTCGGAATATAACTGGCACGTGTCTGTATCAGTCACTGGCCCGTTCCAGACAAGATGTTTTACAGGCCGCTGTACGTAGCTGAAATGTTGATGTTAAACAGAGTTAAACAACAAACTATCAACCAAATCCTGTACGATGAGTCTAACTGTAACATGTTCGGTGTTACCAGACAACTACAACAGGATGGCAATGGCGCCTTACTACAAGAACACGGACAAGAGAGTAGCAAGCTACCAAGACAGCACCCCGCCCAACTCAGGTACGACTATACCGACTACAATGTATCGGTGTATAGGGCAGCATGTTTACTTTTTTGTGTTTCTCATCGCCCGACCGACCCTCCTAATTCTGTTGCCGTCTCCCCCACTCCAAAAACAACAACAACAAACAAACAAACAAAAACTTTTTTTTCAATTCCAACACCGCCGACTCAAACCTAAAACGTACCGCCTCGTCATATAAAAATATTGTCTTATATTATCTTATAATCAGTCGCTGCCACAAGTCCCAAAAAAGCGAGAAATTGTAATCAGATTTACTATAGATGTAAATCGAGAATATCTTTCAGATGATTTTGAGTTTATTAAGGGTTTTTTCTATTTTTTATTTATATATTTTTCCGACCGACCGACCAACCAATGTTCAGAATTTGGTGGCTACGTGAAACACATAAAAATTGATGCCTATACTTACAAAAATAAATTATAGGGACCATTAATATATTGGGGTGTCATTTATCGATGCTCGTGCTGTTGATCACTGGATTGTCTGGTTCAGACTCGATTGTTTACAGACCGCCGCCATATAGCTGGAATATTGTTGAGTGCGGCGTTAAACAACCAATTCTTGCTTCAGAACCACTCAGGAATATTCCCCTGGGAAACACGGCCGGTGGAAATTCTTTCAAAACCTTTTAGTATTTTTTATAGTGCGAGTTCCAATCACCTCACCATGGGCCCTTCAAGGTGGACTTACCTTTTGTGTTCTTAAGAAATTCAGACTTGACGGAACTCTTTCAAATGTTACACTAATTCTTCCCGACACCAAATCACTGTCGAATACAAACTTCTGGCTTCTTTTGGCATGTCTTTGACGCCTTGCCGTGCTGGTATAGACCATCACTGGAGTACACTTAACAGCCTCTGTACTATGGAACTTCAAAGAAACAGCCATTGGGTGCAATTATCGATTATGGGTTGAAGTGTTTGTTTGAAGCGTTAATTGGGGAAACATTGACTGGGACAGTGCGTCACACCGAATCCATCAATGCGTCACGCCTGGACACATTTCATGTAATGGACACAGTCAACTCATTACATTAGCAGAAACCGGACAGTTGACCCAAGGGCACTTGACCCACGGCTTGATAAACAAATACAAACAATTAAATCATGACCAGGGGGTTACAAAGCATATGAACTGTCGGACATGATATTGAGCAAACAAGAAAATTTATGAATACACAATGCCATTTAGAAAGTGGACAGATGTAACAAATGTTATAGTTATGATTACACCTTATCAATGAGGGACAGATTCTAGTACTTTCGTTGGGTTGAATCCCATCCTGAATTCGAGCACTCACACTCAGAGTCAAGCATCTAATCGCTAGTCCACAAAGTCAGCGATCTAACCCAATCAGCCACCGCTACTTACACAAAAATGGAAGTCTGACAACTAGTAGTCCAGATCACGTGGTTTGTGTAAATTACTTAGAAAATGTAATCCCAAATATAACTGTTACATTTGACCACTTTTTAAATTGTGTATTCACAGCTTTCGTTCATGGGAACCGCTCCAATTTACACGTGTCAGTGGGGTACACGAGTACACAAATATACTCATGCCAATAATGGTTGTCACCCCCTTCAATTTTTTTAATTGGAGAGGGGCCGTGGGGTGGGGTGTGAGGTGTGTGGGGTTGGGTTGGGAGGGGGGTGACATCCATTATTGGCATGAGTATATAACACAATTAAATCATGTTAAAAGAAACTTAATGTTTTTTCGATGGTGAAATGTCATAGCTGCGTTTAGACATGGTGTGGCACGGCGACTGTTTCAGCCTTGTAACGTAATGATGACGTTATACTTTGTTTGGTCTAATCCGATAGGGGGCGGTGGGGTAGCCTAGTAGTTAAAGCGTTCAAACGTCACGCCGAAGACCCGGGTTTGATTCCCCACATGGGTACAATGTGTGAAGCCCATTTCTGGTGTCCCCCGCGGTCATATAGATGGAATATTGCTAAAAGCTGCGTCAAACTACACTCACTCGTTGTTTGACATTCCTTCAGGTGTGTGTCCCTCTGACGAGCTGCTGACCAACTGCAAGTTTGCCGACCTGCAGGGCCTGCCTATCGACGACGAGGCAAGGGAGCTGTGTAACAGACATGAGATGTGTTATACTTGCGTAAGTAGAGGCCCTATATGTGCGATCTTTGCCCAGTGCAACTGTACCGAAATGTGGCTAGTTGCAGTTAGGTCATTTCGTCACTGAGAATGAGAAATTAACGTTTAATTTGCTAATTTCAGTTCAACTAGTTTGATGACGTCTACACTCGTTAATGCTTCATTACATTAAATTATAATTTGAATACCTGTTCTATAAAGGTTTTTACATGATTAATACTGCATGAGATGTGAACGCCTGGAGCTTTAGATGATTTAGTTTCATGTGCATATATATATTTGTGAATAGGACTGTATCTTGGTCCAAGCCTAGACACACGTTAATAGTAGTAGAAGAAGAAGACCGTGTTACGTTAATAGTAGTACAAGAAGAAGACTGTGTTACGTTAATAGTAGAAGAAGACTGTGTTACGTTAATAGTAGTACAAGAAGAAGACTGTGTTACGTTAATAGTAGTACAAGAAGAAGACTGTGTTACGTTAATAAGAAGAAGACTGTGTTACGTTAATAGTAGTACAAGAAGAAGACTGTGTTACGTTAATAGTAGTAGAAGAAGACTGTGTTACGTTAATAGTAGTAGAAGACTGTGTTACGTTAATAGTAGTAGAAGAAGAAGACTGTGTTACGTTAATAGTAGTAGAGAAGAAGACTGAATAGTAGTAGACTGTGTTACGTTAATAGTAGTAGAGAAGACTGTGTTACGTTAATAGTAGTAGAAGAAGACTGTGTTACGTTAACGTTAATAGTAGTAGAAGAAGAAGACTGTGTTACGTTAATAGTAGTACAAGAAGAAGACTGTGTTACGTTAATAGTAGTACAAGAAGAAGACTGTGTTACGTTAATAGTAGTAGAAGAAGACTGTGTTACGTTAATAGTAGTAGAAGAAGACTGTGTTACGTTAATAGTAGTAGAAGACTGTGTTACGTTAATAGTAGTAGAAGACTGTGTTACGTTAATAGTAGTAGAAGAAGAAGACTGTGTTACGTTAATAGTAGTAGAAGAAGACTGTGTTACGTTAATAGTAGTAGAAGACTGTGTTACGTTAATAGTAGTAGAAGAAGACTGTGTTACGTTAACAGTATTAGTAGAAGAACACTGTGTTACGTTATATAGTAGAAGAAGACTGTGTTACGTTAATAGTAGTAGAGGTAGAAGACTGTGTTACGTTAATAATAGTAGAGGTAGAAGACTGTGTTTCGTTAATAATAGTAGAAGCAGACTGTGTTACGTTAATAGTAGTAGAAGAAGAAGACTGTGTCACGTTAACAGTATTAGTAGAAGAACACTGTGTTACGTTATATAGTAGAAGAAGACTGTGTTACGTTAATAGTAGTAGAGGTAGAAGACTGTGTTTCGTTAATAATAGTAGAAGCAGACTGTGTTACGTTAATAGTAGTAGAAGAAGAAGACTGTGTCACGTTAACAGTATTAGTAGAAGAACACTGTGTTACGTTATATAGTAGAAGAAGACTGTGTTACGTTAATAGTAGTAGAAGAAGACTGATTTATGTTAATAGTAGAAGAAGAAATGGATTGCTTTACGCTACCAGAAGTAGTAGAAATTAGATTGTTAATAGTAGTAGATTTCTTTACGTTAATAGTAGTATAAGCAGCCCTGTCCATAAGAGAGAATTAGGTTAATTTTACGCCGCTTTTAGCAATATTCCAGCAATGTTACGGCGGGGGACACCACAAATGGTCTTCACACATTGTACCCATGTGGGGAATCGAATTCAGGCCTTCGGGGTGACGAGTAAACGCTTTAACCACTATGCTACCCCACCGCCCCCTGTCTATATGAGTACTGATAGAAGTAGAAGCATGAACAGTAGAGTGAGTGAGTGAGTGAAACATTCTCGCAATATCACGGTTGGGGCACCAGAAATCGGCTTCACACATTGTACCGAGGGAATTAAGCCTGGGTACGTTTTATCCACAATGCTATTCCACCCCGGAGTAATAATAGCAGTAGCAGTAGTCGTAGTGGTAGTTATAGTAATAGTTGGAAGTCATCAGACTGTTGTAATTTTTTTCTGTCTGTGTTGATTTCTTTACGGAGGAGAAATAGCTGCGTTGTTGGCAATGTTGAGACTGGTATAATTAACATCCATGATTATCTCCCCTTAGGGCGCCACTACCCACGTGAAGCAGGGCGAGTGTGACAGCCTCTACCGGGCCGATGCTGAAGCCTTATGTGACGATGATGGCGACTGTGTGATAGAGGCCGAACTATTCCTCCGGGAACTCAAGTTAAAACACCGTTACAGCACGTATTACGAACCAGCTTGCGACAATTCCTGCACAGCGGAATATATTGGTCTCTAGAGGGCTCTGCAGAGTTACCTACCCTGTCTCCCAGAGACGGGAGTGTTTACAACTGATTGGCCGAAACAAACGTTTGCCCGACCAACCGGTGACGAGAAGCAATTTGCGGATATCATAGGATATGACTGATTGTTGAAAGGATCGTATAAAACTGACAGGCTTGAGAAGGTGACGAAGGACAAAGAATTTAACCCATCAGCAAGATTGGACGTCCCGCCGTGTGGTGGCAATAGACGGAGTGATATGAATATATTAGCCGTAGTTTTGTAACACACGGTGGGTTCAAAACCATTTTACATCACGACAACCAGAAATCACTCATTGGTGTGTTCGTTTAATCATTAGGTGTCTTTCTAAAGCAAAGTGTAGAAGGTCCTGGTTTGTGTTCAAATTGAGTTTGGTGGTAGACTGTTTGGTGCTAGCTACAGCGTTGGGTTAACGATAGAATACTTAAAGATATATTTATTTTAACAGAGATGATTTTGCAAGCTAAACGTTTTCATTATAATGTTGATAGACAATTCTCACATTAGATGTCGTTTCGTAGTCTTGTTTATACTGGTTTCTGATGTCGTACATATTTGAAATAATTACGTTTATTATATACGTGTCAGGTATTTGTCGTAACATGGGTTTCAAGTACGTAACAAGCTTTCAGTTACATTGTCACAGTTACTCTGCATTTAATTATCAAGAACATGATTTCCATACGCTTGGGCTTACAGTTATGTTCATATAGACAATCAATTGCATGTCTTGTCAGTATCTATTTTAAGGTCGAGAATAATTATTTATCGTATGGCGTTGTTGTACTTAACTGTAAAATGCTGAGATTGTTTTGACATTTGCAACTTAAATCTAATCGCGCCATGAACTCCTTTGTAAAATTAATTCCAAGGCTATTGAAATGTTACATATTTGGCCCGAAAGCACCATTGGGAAATTAGACAAAATTAGAACGTGGTCATTTCATAATTTAGACTTAATTCACTCGCAAGTCACACGGACATTAGGTTAATCAGATGCGCTGACTATGTAATACATTAATGTAAAACACATGCACAATGCGGCAATGGTTACCTTCAACCAGAATGGTGTTCTGAATAGTTCACATACATGATACTTCTGTTTTCAAAACACTGCAAGGAAAAAACAATGTACAGCTGTTTACAGACAGGGTGTTTCTGTCATCTACACCCACCAGTGAAGCACAATGTACAGTTGTTTACAGGCAGGGTGTTTCTGTCATCTACACCCACCATGGAAACCCAATGTACAGGTGTTTACAGGCATGGTACCTCTGCCATCTAAACACATGGAAACCCAATGTACAGCTGTTTACAGGCAGGGTGTTTCTGTCATCTAAACACAGGGAAACCCACTGTACAGCTGTTTACAGGCAGGGTACCTCTGGCATCTAAACACAAGGAAACTCAATGTACAGCTGTTTACAGGCAGGGTACCCCTGGCATCTAAACACAAGGAAACCCATTGTACAGCTGTTTGCAGGCAGCGTAGCTCTGGCATCTAAACACAAGGAAACTCAATGTACAGCTGTTTACAGGCAGGGTACCTCTGTCATCTAAACCCATCAAGGAACCGAACGTACATCTGTTTACAGGCAGGGTATGTCTGTTATCTAAACACAAGGAAACCCAATGTACAGCTGTTTACAGACAGGTTATTTCTCTCATCTAAACCCACCAAGGAAACTTCAATGTACATCTGTTTACAGGCAGGGTACCTCTGTCATCTAAACACAGGGAAACCCACTGTACAGTTGTTTACAGGCAGGGTACCTCTGGCATCTAAACACAAGGAAACTCAATGTACAGCTGTTTACAGGCAGGGTACCCCTGGCATCTAAACACAAGGAAACCCAATGTACAGCTGTTTACAGGCAGGGTGTCTCTGTCATCTAAACCCACCAAGTAACCCAACGTACATCTGTTTACAGGCAGGGTACGTCTGTTATCTAAACACAAGGAAACTCAATGTACATCTGTTTACAGGCAGGGTAGCTCTGGCATCTAAACACAAGGAAACTCAATGTACAGCTGTTTACAGGCAGGGTACCTCTGTCATCTAAACCCACCAAGTAACCCAACGTACATCTGTTTACAGGCAGGGTACGTCTGTTATCTAAACACAAGGAAACCCAATGTACAGCTGTTTACAGGCAGGTTATTTCTGTCATCTAAACCCACCAAGGAAACCCAATGTACAGCTGTTTACAGGCAGGTTATTTCTGTCATCTAAACACAAGGAAACCCACGGTACAACTGTTTACAGGCCGAGTGTCTCTGTCCTCCAAACACACACACGAAGCACAGTATACAGGTGGTTACATATATCCTGTATCTTTCATCTAAACACACCCAGAGATTTCTCGAAACTCCGATCAATCATTCCTGATATTGACACCCGAAATCTCATAGTACAGATGTTTCTTGAAAAAAACTCATCTACATAGCTATGTCCACTACATTTTGAGGAATGCATCGACAAATATCATGGACGATATTGGTGACACTTTGACCTATCTGGTCTTCACTGGAACTTGTTAATCCGTGGTGCCATACCGGAATCTGATCCTGATTATTCTGAATATTGGAACCAGTGTGCAATCCGAATTCCGTATATAAACCCACCGAAACTGTAAGTTAAGTTATAAAAAAATATTGTTTCTGGAAAGAACAATAGCTAATTCCAAGAAAACTTTCTGATATGTGTCAGGTACTTGCACCATCAATGGTGGCGCCAAGTACGTAAAGGTGTTCACATTTACTGTTATGATGGGGTTTTCCGTTATGTTTTGTTTAAGGAATTGATATATCTGTGTAGACGGGGAGTAGTTACCGTATCGCTTTTACCATTGTCCAGCTGTGGCCTATACTTCAACCCAAACGCTCCTGGTATTCTTCAATGTTGATTGTTGATCTTGTTTCTTTCTGCAAAGTTTGCTGTCTATCAATCAAATAACATCTGTAAATTATTGTTGAAAATAAATGACTGTGATAAACGTCTTGGTGTTTGTCAACTTAATGGTGTGTCATGTTACAGAACAAAAAAAGATCGTGAATATTTTGGGGACATTTTTGTCGTGAAGCCTGTTTCCATAATTCACGAAAAACTTTCCCAAAAATATGCATCATTGCTTCTGCGTGAATGAACTTCGTGTGTTTTGGATCAGTATGTATTATTTTTTGTTTCGAAGATAATAATATGGAAAAAGGTTATAGATAAATGTACTGTTACATGTCAGATACAATGTACCAATGAGAGGAATCGAACCCGGGTTTGGTCGTGACAAGCGAACACCTTTACCATTACACCCTCCCATCCAGTTACCAAATCCACTGTAGATACAAATGGTTTTACTCTAGTTAATGCAATATTCAAGTAAGGGACACAAAAGTGGAATTTACACATTGTATCGAGATGAGGAATCGATGTAACGGGAAAACGTTCACAGCGCTCACCTTTTGTAGCAATGTGTATGTGGACAGAAGTACTCAGAATATCTGGATGAATTGACGAACGTAATAGAGTTCCGCAGTATAACATCCACACCCAGCGGATCCTGCTCCCGGAAGTTCCATTGGACAAAGCGAATATTACGCTGTCATCGCATGTGATAAAGTGCTTATTTTAATGACGTTTCGCACTTCACACCTTGTACCCATGTGGGGAATCGAAGTTGGTTGATCATATATAACGGATATTTCTGTTTGATCATATCTGTCAGATATTTCTGTTTGATCATATATAACAGATATTTCTGTTTGATCATGTATGACAAATATTTCTTTTTGATCATGTATGACAAATATTTCTGTTTGATCATGAATGACATATTTCTGTTTGATCATGTATGACATATTTCTGTTTGATCATGTATGACAGATATTTCTGTTTGCTTATATATGACATATATTTCTGCTTGATCGTGTGTAGAAGTTGGACAACAAATACCAGTCCAGGACCACGTAGCCGCAATTATGATAGAAGGACTTGGTCCATTTGTTGTATGGCAGCAGGATTTCCCAGATGCAACGGATTGTCCAGCAAAAACCAACCCACGGCATGCTCACGTTGCTGATTTGTGAATCGCAACATCCTAGGTTATTAATCTCCATACGTTTTCCTGTTTAGCAATGTCCTTCTGCTTGCATTCCAATGCACGTGCGCTCAGTAAGGTGATCACATGACTTGTTGCACGTGTTGTGATTCACAAGACCATGTTCAAAACAGCCTACATGTCATTGCCATATGTATGGCAGATGAACATACGAAAACGAATTACAATAAACTATAACAATAATATATGTGTGAAGCTTCTAACTATTTTAGCACAGTCGGAATATTGTTGAGTACTTTAAACACCAAACAGCAAAAACTACAACATATAATCGAGTTCCGTGTGCTACTATGCCTCTTTACATCTAATGATCCAACTCACCATTTTCTAAACCCACACAAGTTCTGGCTTGGCAGACGTACACGTACTCCTTCCAACTAAACATACGTTTCGACCTGAAGTTTTGTTAAACACTTTACTGATGGTATTCGGATAATTGCTGAAATATTGACTTAAACGTTGACATCCAAGCGTGGACGGAGCGGGGTCATGTTTTCAAAGGAGACCCGGGGGATCGCAAACAGGAAATCAAGACTGATAGTTGATGAACCGTCCTCTTTCCGAGGACAGAGACCTTTCTCATGGGAGAATCAATCGACATCAATTTCCGACGAATCCCGAGTGAATCCGAATTTAACTACAGTGTTGCCCAAAGGGTTTTGTTCCAGCTTCCAGTCATGTGGGCGACTGACAGACGGGGTGACGTTGCAATCGACAACATCGTCAATGACGTCATGGACGAGCAGATGTGTGGGAAGGAGATATTGAGCCAGCGGATCAGAAGGCGATGGTGGTAAAAGTGTTCCTCTCACGCCAAAGTCCCGGGTTCGATTCCACAAAGTACATATTGAGTCAATGGATCAGAGGGAGATGGGCCAGCCTGGTGGATAAAGCGTTCCCCCATTACGCCAAAGACAGGGTTCGATTCCACACAGTATAAGGTTGAGATATTGTGTCAACGGATCAGTGGGCGATGGGCTAGCCTGGCGAGTAAAGTGTTCCCCATTACGCCAAAGACCGGGTTCGATTCCACACAGTATAGTGTTGAGATATTGAGTCAACGGATCAGGGGGGCGATGGGCTAGCCTGGTAAAGTGTCCCCCAAGACAGTGTGTGGCCCACTTCCTGTGTCCCTCGTCGTGATATTGTTATAAAATTACTAAATACGGCGTAAAACCATACTCACCCACCCATTCAATTGAGATAAAAAAATGGCATTGCCATTTAAAAAGATGAGTGATATATGTGCATTGAAACAGAGAAATATGCGCTGTATATGAATTGTATTATTTTTCCATTGATCACATTGAACACATGAATGACTATTTTCACTTTGTAGATCTGACTGTGGTTGTCTAACATTTGGAGATCAAATATTATTGTCTATTTACTATTTATAATTGTTAACTATTAAGACACAAATTAATGTCATTAAAAAGCTCAAAAGCAGAAATAAGAGGGAAGTAAGAGAGCCAATTCAGGATTCAGATGCACCTCACCACGGATCCAAGAAAATGAATTTTGACATTTCCACAACCACATATAGAACTGTAAGCAAGAGATGTCAGTCTACTCGAGGAACTATCTCGTGTTTCTCGTGTATTAGAATCATGACTCATGACTGAGATCACGTATGCTGTATTTATAGACAGATTAGATATAAAACATTGGGCTGGATGTATCTTTTTCGGTGGTTTTACGTTGAATAGGAAAATGTCAGTATATCCGATATGGTGATATCTCAACAACTAAAATATATTTGAAACAAGAAATAGGACAGCATACACGTTAGAATATAAATGATCTATACAAATATAAACATAGGCGCATACACATACATATTCACACGCACGTACGCACACACACACTCGCACTCGCAGACACACAAGCACTCTCGCACACCCACACTCGCATGCACGCACACCCACACCCACTCGCACACAATCACACGTACACACACTCGCACTCACATACACTCATGCCTGCATGCACGCACACGAGCGCACGCACACACACACACACACACCTAACCTATGAAACATCTTAGCTCGATAATATCTATTTTTATAAAAAGATATATTTGCAGACTATGTAATAAAACTTCTTTGGAAGATATAGCTTTAAATCAATTTCTAATAAATCAATGGATCATCCTCGCCAGCTCAGTCTTATACAATCAACATAGCTCAGGATTCCATCAACTGGCTTTCACAAGACAATGGATGTCGAGTCTATTTAAGTAACAGATGGCCAGTTGATCTTCACTGCGCAGTATACAATCATATCGCCAGACTCCAGAGGGAGAGGGATTCACTCCTATATCATTTCTGATCTGGCTAAGTACAGAAAATACTTGGCCGAGCTGCGTTCGATGATTGACAGCTGAAATACAGATGAGAGGATTAGACGGGTTTTTTACAGAGGGGAATTGAAGACATGGTTTTAAGTGAGACTAGCTTGTGTTGATTTAAGTGCATTGGCAGTTAGTTGTCTTGCTGTGTGTAATGAATATCCTTCAGCCCCTGGTGGTCTGGGGGCTGATTTGCTAAGGTTGTAAGGGTATAATATGGGCATGTACGGGACGTCAAGTTTCACCTTTGTAAGATTAACCACATTCACGGTTGGTTGAGGATGGTTCTGACAGTTGGGGGCCAGTATCATCCACGTTAGCACATTCAAAGTTTCAGTAAATGTTTTATGAAAGGGGCACCAGACGTATCCGTGACCAAAATTTTTTTTCCCCAATTTAGCTTGTTCCATATGTTCACGTGTAATTTCCAGGTGAACAATTGACTTGCCTGTGTATGTGTTTGTGATGGTGCCATCGTTAGGACAAGATATGTTCACCCATTTGCGAACAAGTGGTACCATGATCACACGATATTGATTCTTAAACACATGATCATAGACGTGTAGTCCCATAATGGACTCTTCCTTTTCTCTCTTTTGAGTATGAAAATGTTATTTTTACATGAATATTGTGTTATGAGGATGTGCTTTTGTTAATTATAATTTTACATTAATTAACTTTAGGTTGTAATGGGTCACAAAAGTTCAAAGCGCTGAATGTGGATTTGAATTTGCATCTTGAACTTAGGCTATGTTATTTCACCTGAGTGGGCTGAGGAGTTGAATCCCTTTGTTGTTTTGCTTCCGGTCTGATTCTGGTAGCGCCCAGATGATTGTGGTGCCATGGTTTTTGTTAGAAAAATCAAGAACTGTAGAATAGGTATATAAGAGATGGTTGTTGAGGTGTATAGGGGAACGACTTTACGCTCATCTGTCTGCCAACATTAACGTTTCAAGACCCACCACTCAAGAGACCTCGTCTTCATTGAACTTTCAACAGCTGTCAACAAACTTCAATCAGTATATCTACAAGGATCAAGACTTTGGTGACTATGTACATTTAGTGAATAGTTTTAGATTAGTAACCCAATCGTATTGCATTAGAAATCTCAACTGTCAGTCATTGTAACCTTGTTTATTTTTCATTCAATATATACTCTCCCAAAAAAGAAACGTATATAGGAATTTCAACTGTATTTTTATGTTTACTTTGAAACATCTTGTAGGCTTTATGAATCAATGAAATATAGCGAAATTGCACACTGGGAATGCAGACTTATCCGTCTTTGGCACCAACTCGAGGAAAGTCAGTGTGAGTGTCACATGGAGACATGTAGTGGTGCTGAAGTCAATACCTCGTGTGACCACCGTGGGCATCCAGAACTGCACGGCATCTCCTCGGCATCGAACGAATAAGTCTCAGAATTTCGTGTTGCCCAATCGCAGCCCACTCTGCCTGGAATGCCTGTGCGAGTTGCTGAAGTGTCTGGGGCTGAGGGTTACGGCGTCGCACCCGGGTTTAAGTCGATCGGG